GAGTAAAAGTGAGAAAACTCATGGGTTGAGATAAAGACAGTTTTTAATAGGTACAGTAAAAGCCGTGCACACAAGCAAAACAAAGCAAGGAATTCATTCACTACTTCCCATGGGCAGGCAGGTGTTCAGCCATCTCCAGGAAAGCAGGGCTCCATCACGTGTAACCGTTACTTGGGAAGACAAATGCCATCACTCCGAACGTCTGCCCTTTCCTCCTTCTTCCCCCAGCTTATATGCTGAGCATGATGTCATATGGTATGGAATAGCCCTTTGGCCAGCCTGGGTCAGCCCCCCTGGCTGTGCTCCCTCCCAGCTTTTTATGCACCTGGCAGAGCACAAGAAGCTGAAAAGTCCTTGACTAGTGTAAACTCTGCTCAGCAAGAACCAAAACATCAGTGTGTTATCAACATTATTCTCATCCTAAACCCAAAACACGGCACTATACTAGACACTAAGAAGAAAACTAACTCTATCCCAGCTGAAACCAGGACGCACATCATTCTTGTTTCAGTTAAGGCAGAAAGATGAAATGTGTACTTTAGCAGCACTTTGTGGCATAAACAGGAATGCTTGCATATATCCTGAGATCTTGCTACGTGAGAATAATATAGCTTTACTATATTATTAGAAACATGTAACTTCAGTGGATGAATGATGTGGACTTGCCTTTTGCATCTTTGCTCGTATGAGTTATTTGATAATGTCTCAAAGTAGTGCGGCAATTAAAACTCTGGTAACAGTATTGGATTTTAAGAAGCTAAGGTTTTGGTATACCAGTAAGGAAACTCTTTTGCTTAAACGAGCCCATTTCAAGTGTTAGTGTCTTAGGGCGTGCTTTACAAGTGTCTCATGCAGGATGCTTCATTTGATTTTCTTTTTTTATACAAATTTATTCTTCATTTTATGAGAACTGTTTCTCTTGCCTCGAGTTCCTCATTTTGAGGAAGAATGTTTTCTGAGAAGTTGATTTATCTTGTGGTTTTTCTTGATTCTTTTTTCCTCTTATTTCCCTTAAAGGTGATTGCATTTAAATTTTCTGCAGATGGCTCTACTCTCAAGCACTGTGCTCTTTAAGAATGGTTTAGGTGGAGTGTGTTAAAGAAGTAGAGTATTCGATAATTTACAAAAAGAGGAAGACTGTGCTTGTTATGTTGTGTAAAAACTGCCATGGGATAGCTATACTGTTGTTTTCCTGATGTTTTTGTGTTTGAGAGGAAGTCTTTGTAACTCGTGGTTGGGAGCATTTTAATTCCTGCAGCTTTATTACCTGTTCAACGCGCATTTGTGTTTGGTATCATTTTTGTCTTTTCCCTTCTTTGTTTGCACTTTAGTGTTTGATGAAAGGTTGAGTGGAGGGTCTGCCCTCCTGCGCCCTTTACTCCCTGTCATGAGCCCTCCAGAGAGCGTGGTTTCTTACGAAGATGATTTTGCCTCGTCACAGGGAAGCGGCACTTTAACTGACAAAAAGATTGCACGTGACCTCAGGTAATTGTGCGTTTAGACTTCTTGTAAAAATCGAAATGCAGAATTCAACAGAAAATAGTTAATGCAAAATTTGTTTCATAATATGCTGGATATCTTTTCTGTCATGCTGTATTGTAATAGTAGTCAAAGTGATGAGGTATTTCCTTAGGACCTTGCAGTTAACACAGCAACCATCATGGTTAAGAGATAAAGATTAGAGTCAAGTATTCCCAGTGTCTGTCTAATTTTTGTTGTTGTTTAGTCTGGCAGGTAGCTTTAGGCAAGGTTCTTACCCTTTGTAGTCAGGTGAAAATTAGTTCTCCAACTTGTGCTGCTGCTATAATGCTTAATTGGTTAGTCTTTGTAATTTAGGAAAAAAAGTGTTAAAATACCTTCAGTACCTCAAGATTTTGTAAGAAACCTATAATTGCTTTCAGTAAGGTTTCAGTAATGCTTAGTAATGGATACATAAATTGTCTGTAACAACTCTTAAAACCTTTTGTTCAGACTAAAATTTGAAGACTGTAAATCCTAGACTCTCCATGTTACTACTGAATTCATATGGCTTCCTGAATTTCCTAAGATGCCTTTTTTTGTAATGAAATTTATTTACATCTTTTGGGCACCTTGGGGAAGGCAACAAGTACTGTGTTTACACTGGTGATATTTTATCTCAGAAGAAAGGAAGGTGAAAGGCACTTTGCACGCTGAAAATGTTGGCTGCAAAAAATGGTTTCTTTCTGATTAAACTTCTTGACAGGTCTTCTGTTGGTATTATTAAGTATATGATGCACTACCCCCTTATTTGCAAATCTTTTGTAATCCTGTATTGAAAATCACTCATGTTTCTGTCAATTTATTGATGATATCTGTATGCCCAGAGATTATGTAAAACACAGTCATATTTGGAGTCATTCTTATGTTGTTCAAGTCTACAGTCAAATAGCTCTTAAGAGTTAGCATTGGAAAGGATGGTTGTTATCCATCTTTTACTGTTACATATTATCGGAAGTATGTGTCAATATGTTCAATATGATGTCAAACTTCCTAGTGTTTTAGCTGTCATAGTTTTTAATCTCAAAATCAACGCTTTTCAAGATGGACTAATTAGCGCAGTTTTAGCCATCTGTCTCTAATTTAAAGTGTGGTGGATTTCTTGTGCACAATGTAATGGGGGAGTTGGAAGTCCTTAATTAAGCACTGTCAATGTGCTCCTTTTTAGTGTTGCTGGCAGCAGTAATTCGAGCATTCAGGAAGAAGTTCCTAGTAGGAAGTCTCCCCATGAACCTCGATCTGTAGAGCTTGCTTCTCAGCATTCATCTGGACCACGGTCTGCAGCATCTTCTCGCTCATCTGCTTCCTCTAAAAAGAGAGGGAAAAAGGAACGTAAGTGCAGTGCTTGACTGTAGAGTACTTTTTTTTTTGAAGGAGGTTTTAGGGTGTTCTTGTTACGAAAATTGCAGGCTTTCTACATATCTGGAAACTGTAATCTAATACTGATACGATGATTTATTTATTCCTCCTGGGATTCCTTGTTAAATTCTTTTTGGCTCTCATTATTCTCTGACCTTAAAATAGAGTCATCTAAAATTAAATAAGCAAAAGGTTGTTAACAGCATTGAAAAATTTTCCTTTCCTAAACCAGCCTTCTAATAAATTAGTTAATTTTAATATCTTGTGGGAACTATCCTCAGATTATGTACTGAGGAAATTCCAATAGGCTGCTGAAAAATCAGAGTTATGGCCACATTTACGAAGGCAACAAGTTTGCCTGTATGCTTCATCTTTAGATCACAGGCAGTTTTCGTAAGTGCACAAATTAATAAACACATTTCTTTCTACAGTAACTTATACTTTACAAAAACATGAAGAAACTTGACATTTGGTACACTCTTACTATATAAGCAATGGATAGCATAAGGAAAAGCTAGGTTTAAAGCCAATAAAAGGATGAGAGGAATAAGATTGGGTGTTCCAAATTATCTCCCTTCCTATTTTTTTCAAAATTCTCTTAGCTTACCCAAAGAAAGCTAGTCTTTACTCTAATTATCAGTATTGGAGAGTCAAATGCATATTTTCTTTATTTAAATCAATAGTTTGCTGAAATGAAAGCTGAGTGACAGTTTTGTTGATGGTGGACACAATATGCAGAAGAGAACTTAATCGCCTGTAGGAAGCTGCCAAATTTGCATTTCTTGCTTGTTGGATTTATAGACTTCTAACTCAAAGGCATCCTTAATCAGGGAAAAAAAAAATCTCAATTGTTTGTTTTGGGGCTCCTGATGGCTAAGATATTCATACCAAACATAAACTTTTCACAATGTTGTTGCTTCTTAGGATTGGAGTCTTTCAATGGAAGTTCTCACCACTTTCCCATGGAAGAAGATAAAATGCTATCTGAATTAGAGTGGGGATCCCAACAGGCAAAGAAGTCCTTATTGAGTAGCAGAGTTTCTAATAAAGATCATGAGCAGAACCCAGATACAGACAGCACACTGGAAAACTTGTCTGGACACTCCCTGATGAGGTAACATGAACATATGTTACAAACATAACAAATATAACTAAGCTTGGTAGTGTTATGGCATGTTACCAAAAATGGCTATGTCTTTGGATATGCAAAAGGAAGGTAACAGAAATGATACAACGTTAGTAAGATGGGCATGCAGAAAACATCTTTTTCCCTGTATTTTAAATATGAAAGCCTAAAGTAGATGGCTGTAGTAAGAGAAAATACTAAACAGTGATTCCTTCCCAAATGACCCCTCTGTTTTTTTTAAGGATAACTGGCCAATATAGGGATCCTGTCAGGTTTAGTACCTTAAGCATTGAAACACAATTTTCGTTTTCTCTTTCTACAAATGGTCTGTAAGAAGCGGAGGAAAAAAAAATACCTTGTAAACCTATGAAGTCATCTTGCTCTTTTCAGTAGGATCCACAGACATTTTTGGCTACACTTGTGTAGAGCTAATACTCATAAGCCTCTCCAGCTCTGAGATGATGATTTTTGAGAGATGAGCTGCACCTCAGAAAAGAGTGTAGAGGAAGAGAAAAATTATTTTTCCTGTTGCATCCTCTGTATGGCTACCTATGAATGCAGTTTATTTTCTGCTAATTGTGTGTTGAAGATAGTTATGAAATACACTGAGCTTAGTTTTCACTGTGCTTTTTTCTAAAAAGCAACAAATCTGAATGGTCTTTTACTCATTCGGTGTGGGCATAGAATGGTTCTGAGGTACTGACTTATACTGGTGACTTTCACTGATATCCAGTACTGGGTTTGAAAGGTCCTATGACCTCCTAAGATGTGCCAAGATCCTAAGATGTGCTAAGATGTGCAGAACGTCTTCCTAAGGGATTTAAGCAGCCACTGTTAATCCTTTTTAGTTTAATAAAATCGGGATAGTAAATATAAGAAGTGTCTACATCATTTTCTGGATGTTTGGAAAGAGATGTATAACTTTCTCGTAAGAAATATTACCGTAGTATTTTACTAACTGTTTAAAGTTTTGGCTTTCAAGCATTTCAGTGCATTTTCATGAAAGAGATCAAGACTCAGGGCAGTGGCATATCAGATTCAGTTGCATCCATATGCTGATAGTAACCTGTTTACTTTTTAAAAATACCGTGCATCATATTCTGATATCAAAATATTGCCCTAATTTCCTGTGAGTAAAACAAAGTTCATCACTCAGACTCTCTAAACAGATGTGTAAATGTACATGCAGGTGAGTGCATCCTGACTTTCTCATGCCGTTTCCTAACAGGAGGCACTGAAACTGCTTGTCTGGCCATGTAGAACATGTAGATACTATGTTAATTTTTTTGTGTGTGTGCTAACTAGGTTTAATACTTGGGGGGAAAACCAAGGTGCTCTAGAAACTTAACCCTAAACTGAGGTATAGGTACAAAGGCCATCTCATGAGGCCATTTCCTAAACGCAGACTGGGCCTGTGCAAACCATAAAAGACTGTGCCTTTTGCGTGGATCTGTTTGGTGTATATACATGGAAGAACTAGGTTATTGCTTTGTCTTATCAGATGGCTGGACTTACAAGAATATGACTCCTTTCTTTTTTTGTTTCACTGTCAGTTTCTCAGACAAGGGAAGATCCCAGAAGACGCCAACTTCTTCCCCATCTCCCGGCTCCCAAAAAATGTTGCAGTTTGATTCTATAGGCAATACAGCAGAAAGAGTCAAGTCACCTGCTGGCTTTTCTGGAAGTACAGCGTCAGGGCTGAAACCTAACGTAGCCTTCCCCGACTTGAGTCTGGGAACTAGTAGGTCTGTAGCAGGAGCAGCCTCAGCGAGTGGTGAGTTGTTTTGTTAAAACCGTACTAATCCCAGAGCAGGTTTTTTTTTATTAGTTTTTGATGTGGCACCTAAAGTCTATGGAGGTTGACTAGTAAGTCTTATCCTGCAGGATGTATGCGCTTCTCCCCTGCTGGTCTTCAGCATCGTTTAGCAGCAGAATTGAACTACCTTAGTGCCATTGAGGAGTCTGTGCGACAGCTTTCAGATGTAGAACGAGTACGAGGCATATCACTTGCCCAGCAGGAGAGCGTTTCTTTGGCTCAGATTCTGAAGGTAATGGAAAAATACATCCTTGTCTTAACCTTCCTTCTTTTTATTTTGCAAGAAAATTAATCAAATTAGGGTGAGTTTACGCTTTTGTTAGCAATGCAGAGAAGTCATAATGGGCATAATGGAGCATCTCTGATAATGTCCATTTTTATTAAGATTAATGTCTGTTATCTGTCTTATTTTAAGTTGACACCAAGGAACTGGTAACTGTAGAATATGTCTTTAATATACTTACTATATATATTTATTATATATAATATAATATTAGTTGGAATCACTGCTTTGGTTGTGTACTTCAGTAAAATAAAAACTAGATTATTTACTGGGTTTGATGCTGGATGCTAATGCTGTGCAGTGTAGTTGTTCAGGCTGGATCATTTGTCTTACTCCACGAAGAGGATATTTTTGGTTGAAATTCTCTTATGTTGACAAGATTGCTTGTTCTAGTTTGTTGAATTAATTGGCCTTCTAAATCCTCTTTCTTTCTGCACTGTGGTGGAAGAGTATGGGGAATGTGCATTGTTTACTTAAAAAGGGAGAGGGTCAGTTGGTAGGCTGAAAATTTTACTTTAGCAGAAGAGGCACCACCAGTAGAGTAGATCTAGATCTTTCAGAGGTAGTTGCAGCCAGTGGCTAAGGCAAAAAAGGTCTTTACATTTAACTTGCATGATTAAAACTTGTTTTCCTAATCTGTAGGCACAGCAGCAGCGCCATGAACGGGACTTAGCTCTTTTGAAAATCAAGGCTGAACAAGAAGCTTTAGAAAGTCAGAGACAGCTGGACGAGGCAAGGCAGAAGGCAGCTCAGGTAATGCTGCCCTTCAAAAAATGTGGAGTGTGTAAGAGGCAAAATGCTGTAAGTAAATCCGTGTCTACAAGTATTCTTAATTTGAAGCTGTGAGCATACGGAAATGGTGAAGGGATTTAATATAGCTGAAAAAACCTCATGGGGGTCAATTTAAAACTTTTTTCCGCCAGATTTTGAGAAGTAAAACTATACTTACTATAGCCAGAAAATTTTGAAGAGCTGAACTGGCTGTGTTTCCTGCATAGGTCCATGCAGAGTCACTGCAGCATCTGGTCCAGTCACGGCAGGAGGCTGTACAAGAGACCCCATGCAAGGCTGCAGCGAAGCAGGCGGAAACTGCACTTCTCACTACAGATGCAGCTCACCAGCTCCGTGAGGTGAGGTCCTGAGTGAAACGAAAAAGCTATTCTAATTTCAGTATTATTTTGAATATTTTTTTGCCTCTAGGTTATCCTCTGTTCAGTGTCATTCTCACTGGAACTTCTTCACCTTCATAATGGGACAAATAATAGGACTTTAAAGGAGCTTTTCTGGCATCGTTACTTAGAAGTCAGTTGGCAGCCTTAAATCCCTGTTCACTATTCTTATGATCTTCCAGTTAACAAACTGTTAAGTTTTTGTTTTTCCAGGATAGATTAATGACAGTGAACACAACATCTTTAATTTGTTAGTTACACTCCATCAGGGATTGATCCTGTATCTGTTTCATATGCAAATTAAATTAGAAAAGCAGGGAAATAGCAATTTTGCTTACTTTTGAAGGTAGGAGGCCAACAAATAAAATTAAATAATTTAAAAAAGGAGAGGGGAGGATCTTCAGGAAAGCTTTTAACTTGGTACAGAGTTTGAAGTTTTCTTTTTCTGAGTCTCTTTTCATTCCTCTTGTGGCATACAGAATTTTTATCAGTCTATCAGTTTTTATGCTTGTTGTTCCCACCATGTAGCAGCTATTTCACACATAGGTAAGAACCACAGTAACCAAAAAATGCTTTTGCTTCTTCACAGTTTAGCAATCGCAGTGACTGTCGATTAGGAATATGGGATGGAGTGCAGAAGGCTGATGAGTATGAACATAACTGTTTCTTCACAGCTTATGCACATGTTCATGCTCAGCAAGGCTCTTTTTATGATGGGTAATGGGACTGTAGAATAATACCGATGTACTTGTTCTGGGCTTTGCCAAATATGTGAAGTTTAAATAATTTTTGCATAGACAAGAATGGGTTAGGTTAAAGGAGTGGAAAAGCTCAAGCATCTGAGATACATGTAGTGGTTGTTAATAGTAGGTAGTGAAGTCTTGGAGAAAGACAAAGAAACATTTGTAGTTTATAGAGCTGAAGTGGGTGGAAGCCAATTATGAAACAAGGTAGAAGAAACACACACAGATTTTATTTGGTATAGGGTTTTAATCTCTTGTCTTGCTTTTAAGTTTGAAGTCTGAGAGTAAGAGGTGCTGGTGGAGAGGTTGATGGGGATGACCTGATCAGTGACGATGGGATAGCAGAGTAGCTTTTCCATCCATGTTCACAAGTGACTCCTGATATTCAGTTGAACAACCATTTATTTTAACTGGTATGCAGCAATGGAAATGCCAGTCACCAATGTGCTGGGAATATTTTCGGATGTACACTGTAATTTCTTATGTATAAAGGAATGGAGTTCGTTTTCCGCATTGCTTTCAATTAGAAGTTTTTCTTATGCAAAAGAGAGAACACAGCATGCTAGTATACAAGTTTGCTTAGAGTTGACTTTCGTACTACTGAAGGCTAAAACAGTGGGTAATGTATACAGACAAGCCAATTTAAAAAAAAAAATCATTCACTTGTTTCTATAAAATTTCTATATATTAATTGAAGAATTACTGAAGAAACTCAGTATGCGTATTGGAAGTTATTGAAATACAGCTTATTCCTACCTTCAAAACCAACTGGAGTTCCCTGCTCTGCAAGAGGCAGACCTTTGAACAAGAAGAAAAACACTAAATTCTAAAGCTTCTAAAAACCAGTGTTACCTGCTTTGATTTCTGAAGAAGTTCTTATTTCTAGTCAGGTACACAGTGACTGCCATACATTAAAAAGGATAATTTATGGCTATCTGTTGATTTAATGGTACCAATTTTAGACCTGGCAGTTTGCATGATATTGGAACTTAAACCTGTTGCTTCCTTTGGAGTGGAAAGATGCACTTTCAAATGAAAAAGAGAACATTGTTTCTGGTGTTTGTGGTTGGGCTGTTTTGGTTTTGTTTTTTTTTTTTTTAAAGTAATTCTAATTGTAAGTGTGGAATGTTTTATCATTCTACTGATCAGAGTTTGGTTAAGTTTATTAGAATGATATTCTAAGTAGTATCTTGCACGTCTGTAGTTTCCTATTGATACTTGCACTCTGCATAAATCAAAGAGTATGTATTTACAGAGCAACATGCACCTCCTACAACCAAAATTGACATGCATGTAATTACAAACCATCTTAAAACCATGTCTTACGTATTTGTTCAACAAATCAGTAAATTGCCTGTGAGAATGACTATTTTCTATTTTCTCTTTCAAAAACATTTTGATGCTGATAAGCTCATTGTATTCCTTTGGTTTTTATTGTACTCAGATGACAGAGTTAGCACGAACCCAAATCTCCGATACTGTCAGTGCTCCAGCTGCTCCGGTCACCACCTTGTTTGACCAACAGCGGCAGCATCATTCAGAGTTCATGAAGCAACTGAGAGCCCGAACTGATACAACCAGGTTTTGCCTAATGTTTCACATCTTGGGAAGGGGGAAGTAAGATTTATTAGGTTTTGCTTCACCTATTCTTGAAGAAAATTTTAAGGTATCGTAACAAATGAGCATTTAAGAAGAATTTAGATGCCATCTTTATGCCCTTAATAGTGTACGCCAAAGGTTTTGTGGGATGATTAAACTAGTCTAAGCTTTAAGTGATCTTTTCAGAAATTTTAGCTGTTACTACTTCTAGTAAACTGATGAAAGCTTGTGAAAACTGTGTTACTCTTTGGTTTAAGACAATGCAAATTTACCCAAAACACTTCTCTCTCAGGAAATGTGAGTCTGGTGCTATATCACAAGGTAAAGAGGAAACAGGTGACTCAAAACAGACATACTCACCGATGTTTGATAGTTATTCAGAGTCCTCAAGATCAAAGGTTCATGATCAGAGGTAAGAGGAGTTTAGATTACACAGGGTTTTTGGTTTTGGTTTTTTTGCTATAAATAAGAACTAAAGTACAAAGGAATATCAAGATACTTCCTTCAATATTTTTTTTAAAAAAGAAGGAAAGTCAGTATTAAACCTTCAACAAGTAAACCAGTCTTATATTCCAGAGCTTGAAGGTTTACATGCCTACCAGAATTTCCTTTGTCTTTAATTAAAAATCCTACTACACTGTGGTCCACAGTGTAATAGTATGTTGTGTGTTAATATCTTCAGTTTCACATTTGCTGTATTTGTTCTAATTGGATGCTTTTCTCTTTCATAACTTAAGAATAATTGAGTTCCATGTCTGCTTTCTTATTCAGCTGAATTAACAAGAGTCTAGCCAGCAGGTGAAGGGGAACAGTTATTCCCCTCTGTTCAGCTCTTGTGAGACTGTATCTGGAATACACTGTCCAGTTTTGGGCTTCTCGGTAAAGAGAAGACATTAACAAAGTCTAGTGGTGAACCACCAGGATGGTTAGGACTCTGGAGTACATGATGTAAAAGAGAAGCTGAAGGAACTGAGCTCACTTAACTTAGAAAAGAGAAGGCTAAGGGGCAGGGATCTAGTTGCAGTATCTTAAAGGTAGGTTGTTAGGTAACATAAGGCTAGACTCTTTTTGGAGGTGCGCGGTGAGATGACAAAAGGCAATGGTGACAGATTGCAGAAAGGGGAAAATCACTGGGGAAAAAAAATGCTCCATATGAGAGCGGTCAAACAGTGGAATGAGGGTGTAGGGAGGTTGTGGGATCCTCTGTCCTTGCAGGTATTCAGAACTTGGATGCGGCCTTGACTTTGGTTAGATGAAATACCTTCAGAAATTGTTGAGCTGAGATATTCCGATTTCTGTTCTGTGGCCTGCTTGCATACTTCTATTGCATCACCTTTGCAACCTAAAAGTCACTTTAAATTTATCTTGAGTCTTTTTCCTTGTCCTAAATATTTGCATTTTGTGCCCTTCTCATTTTGCTCTGTGTCTTTTTGAAATGGACTAGAACATAGACTGGAGCATATGTTCTGGAAATGCAGTGCGAAGACCTGTAGAACTGCCTACTAATGTGCATTACTTTCTGTTCTGTTCTCTGTATCTGGCCATTTTGTTAGGGCTTGTTTTTTTTTCACTGCTGCTTTGTACTGGCTTGAGATTTTACATGAAGTCCCTGGAATGCTGCTTGCCTGAGGTTTAGATTTGACGCATTTCTGGTGTTACGTTTCAGTATCTTGCCTGCGTTTAATACTGGATTTTAGCTTTTTGTTTCCTGTTCACTTACCTGATCTGGTTAGGTCCCATGAAGTTTCTCACAGGCCTTCTCTGATCTTGACCAACTGGAATGATTTTGTCCTCTGTAGTTCTTCTAATTTAAAACAATATCGCTATCTTGCTCATCCTTTTACAAACTGTAAGAAGAGATGTTTGCAGTGGTTTATCATCAATACTCATTGCCAGGTAGAGGGTGTGCATACCTACAAACCACTTGCATTCTAAGGTAGAATAAAAATAACAAGTTCTGCTGTCAGTCAGCAGCTTGATGAGGCTTGGAATTTTAAAGTAGCCAAGCTTCATTTTAAAAACAAAACCAAACCCTCTGCATGTCGAGTATTGCTGGGATGTTAGTCATGGTATGTACAGTAGTAATGTAATATAAATATTTTGAAATGTGCAAAGTAATTTTTAAAAATAACTATCTCTTGATAACACAGTAGTACCAGCAGCCGCCAAGAGAGTCCTTCAGTTCCATCTTCGAAGGAGAATGAGAAAAAGCTTTCCCGTCGTGAAAAGATAACTAGCAGTATTGAAGAGCAGGCTCATACGGGTGTGGATGATTCCTTGCCGAGTGATAGTATTTTATCACTGCCAGATGAAAAAGGTTAGCTGTGTTGTTTGTATGTGATGAATCTGAAGGTGGTAAGGGGGGAGGGAGGTGCTGTTTCAGAATTAGTTGCTGAAATTAATGAGGGGAATATGTGTGAAGAAAGCTGAGCCCCAGGTGAAATGGTAGCCTCTTAAGAGGTAACAGAGGATGGCACAGTGAGATGGGAACCTTTGGAATTCTGTGCATCAGAGTGATGGAGTCTGTGGGCCATTCAACTTTCTGCTGTGCTAGCTGCAGCCAGGTGTTCGCTTGCTGAATATGCAGGCTGAATGCCAAATGTTTCAGCAGACCCAGTATACCTTTGTACAGAAGTCTATTAGGTCTTTTTAAGCTAGAAAACAGTAGTTCATGACCTAACTCAAGGTCACGCTTTTCTAAACACTCAGTTTTCTACATTAAAGTAGTTATCTCCCCTGTCTTTGCTCCCCCCCCAACATTATTGAAATGAGACAGAGTAAAACTGCATTCATGGTACATGCCTGAGCATGAAACCACTTCCCTGATTTCTCCCTCAGATTCCGCCTCTGTTGCAACAGAGTATTCCCTGAAATTTGATGAGTCCATGACAGAGGATGAGATTGAAGAAAAGTCTTTTCGGTCTTTGCTGCCCTCTGAGAGTCATCGCAGAAATAACTTGGAGAAGAAACGGGGTAATCGTGATGATTCTGATGAGGAAGTCTCCCCAGAAAAAACAGCTCTGTCATCTATCAAGGTAGGTGTTGTGGTTTAACCCCAGCTGGCAACTAAGCACCACGCAGCCGCTCGCTCAATCCCCCTCGGTGGGATGGGGGAGAGAATCGGTAGAGTAAAAGTGAGAAAACTCATGGGTTGAGATAAAGACAGTTTAACAGGTAAAGCAAAAGCTGCATGCGCAAGCAAAGCAAAGCAAGGAATTCATTCACTACTTCCCGTGGGCAGGCAGGTGTTCAGCCATCCCCAGGAAAGCAGGGCTCCATCACGCGTAACTGTTATTTGGGAAGACAAACGCCATCACTCTGAACGTCCCCCCCTTCCTTCTTCTTCCCCCAGCTTATATGCTGAGCATGATGTCATATGGTATGGAATAGCCCTTTGGCCAGCCTGGGTCAGCCCCCCTGGCTGTGCTCCCTCCCAGCTTTTTATGCACCTGGCAGAGCACAAGAAGCTGAAAAGTCCTTGACTAGTGTAAACTCTGCTCAGCAAGAACCAAAACATCAGTGTGTTATCAACATTATTCTCATCCTAAACCCAAAACACGGCACTATACCAGACACTAAGAAGAAAACTAACTCTATCCCAGCTGAAACCAGGACAGTAGGTCAAGCAACCGTAGTTAAGGTAAATTAACTTGAACTGAGGTGGTTAAGCTCATGAGCTTCAAGTGAGCCGTTCTTAGTTGTGTTTGCAAACTTTAGGGTTCTTTTCGTCCCTGTGGTTCCTTGAGCACCTCAAAACAGGGTTGTATGAATCATGCTGTGTGTCACTGTTGTACAAGTGCGATGACTTGACTTATGGAACATTCCATGCAGCCCTCTACCTGTTCTCTTGTGGCTTTGGAGAAGAGCAGTGACTTTTTGAGGTAGATTATAAAAGCCCGGTAGATTAAGTCTTCCTACTATGCCTACACACAGCTAGAAAGTACAAGAGGATGCTTCATCTCTCTGGCCCAAGAGGGAACATCCCCAAACTGTCATGCAGCCCAGGGCAGAAAAACCTGGTCTGCACAAAGCTCAAAGAGGAAAAAACAGCTTCCCTTCTTATATCTGTTTTTGTGTGTGTGTGTGTGTGTGTATCTCTGCCTACAGACACACACTTTGTAATTGAAAAAAGCCTTGGAATTTCTGTACTATCAAATCATGCCAAATTTGTCCTGCCTTCCAGGAGCTAAGCATGCCATTCTCAGGGGGGCAAGATAGTTTCTCTAAATTTACCATGGAGATGGTAAGACAGTACATGAAAGAGGAGGAAATGCGAGCAGCTCATCAGTCCTCACTGCTTCGGCTCCGGGAGAAGGCTCTGAAAGAGAAGACCAAGGCTGAATTAGCTTGGCTGGAACACCAGAAGAAGTAAGGCAGCTCTGAATATACACTGTTGCTGACTGACCATTTTCTTGTATTTCTGCTTGATTTTTTTTTTTGTAAGATTTTGCTTCCACTCCCCCCCCTCTGTTATTAAGTATCAATGGCTGGACTAGTCTTCTGACATCAGTAATCTATACAAATGTTATTGCCACTTGGAAAGAACAGAACCCAGTTTGTAAGTGTGCTTTCATGTTTACATTGAATGTGGTTTGATGAAAGAGAATTTCATTGAAACAGTAGAGCATCAGGTGTTTGTTGTTAGTCAGAGAAGGTAGTTCTCAACCATTATTCTACAAGTCTTAATTCAAGAATGTATAAAACTGTCAAACTGTTGGAACTTTATTTGCTTGATGTCTATCTGAGGTCATTTTAGTTGACTCAGGCCAAATTTTGTGAATCTGGATACATGTTGTCCTTAATGATTTGTTTCCTACCTAACATACGCTTTGCCCTGGAATGCTGCTTGAAGTACCTAGTGATGCTACTAAACAGTGGTGACCAGATTTAATCAATAATACTTTTCCATGGTCACTCTCTGCATGAGAGTACCACTGTTCACCAGACATTTTCTTCCAACTGCTTATCATTGTGAGTTTGATAAAGGATTGTGAGGTAGTGACCCAAGTGTCCTTTCTTTTGTCTTTCTCAAATGGTGAGCATGCTACCTCTGCAGAACTTCATTCATTTGAGATCTCGTATTACTGTACTGGCCTTTTAACTGTGCGTGTCTTTGACTAAACAGTACAAAATATTCCACTATAGAGAATGCCAATGATTAAGTACAGGCATATACTCTTCTGCAGGTTAGGAAAAGTAATTTTTTTTTTTTTTTTTTTTTTTTACTTCAAAGAGTGAAAGGCTTGCTGTTGTGCGCTTTTTTTCATATTTAATCGTTTCTTCCAACCCATTTGCAGGCATTTGCGAGACAAGGGAGAAGATGATAAAATGCCTCCTATTCGAAAGAGGCAGCGTGGTCTGCTGCTGAGATTACAGCAGGAAAAGGTAACTGATGCCCTCTAGGAAAATCCTGTTGAACCCCCTGTGTAGCTATTAAATATTTCAGACACTGTAAAAGATAAGAATTGAGAAAACTCCATCACAGGCTTTAGAATAGGAAGCTAGCAGTATTTCTTACCAATAAGTTTTATTTGCATTTTGGTAGTATTTAACACATTGTTTAAAAGAGTCCTTCTGTATCAGTAATCTCGCTGGTTGAGACTTAGATGTGTTAATTGATCTTCTGTTCTTTGCTGCTGAAGTTCAGGCTAGTTACTTCATCATGTAATTTCAGTCATTTAAAACCCATAGCATGGACACTGTGGCAGCTTTAGAATGTGTTCTTGAGAGCTGTCACAGTTCTTATGCTTAATCTTTTATACCTAAAAGGCAGAAATTAAGCGTCTTCAAGAGGCTAACAAGGCTGCTCGGAAGGAGAGACAACTGATCCTTAAACAGCAGGCGGAAATAGAACGAATCCGTCAGACTACAATGAAACTGCAGGAAAAACTAAAGTCTGCAGGAGAAAACAAGCTGGTAGGTGTTCAGTACAGAAGCTGGAGTCTTCCCTCTTTGGCCGTGCAGCTGGTATTTGACTTCAGTGTTTATAGGAATGGAAAGCTACTAAATTAGATCTATCACTTGGAAGTTTTGTCTGCCTCAAACGATCTCATCCTCTTTATATCAGCAATTTTATGTTTAATTTTTTTAAAGCATTATTTAAGGAAATGCATTTGGAGAAGTTATAAAATGTTTTGTTTTAACTGGGCAGTAGATGGTGATTGTTAATTCTCAAGCTTAACTAGTGACTTTGGGAATATAATTTTTTTGATGCTTAGATCTCTTAGGCTCTGATTTTGTTGGATTATTTGTCAGACCCCAAGGAACTAAATGTAAGCGCTAAGCCCAAATCTTGCTGCTTTGCGTGTGTTAGTGTCATTACAGTAAGTTTCTTGCATCTGCTTTATGAGATAGCAAGATGGGGTTTTGATAACTGTCTGCCTTACAAAATTTTGAAGAGATGCAAGCGTAATAACAGTAGTGTAGAAAGGATTGGTTTCCTGTTTGGGTGGCTGAGTTATGGTGGGTTTTTTGTTCTAGATACAGTCAGGGGAGAACTTAAATTATGGAGAAAAAGGGTGTACTAAAAACTTGGTGTCAAATAAAAATGAAGTTGGAAAATGAAGTTCAATCTGCGGGTGGACTGACTTATCTGAAGTAGTCTTTGATGTACTCTCAGGAGAAATAACCTAAATTAACACAATTTTTAAAAAGATGGTAGAATATCTTTTCCTACTTTCAATGTTGTTGTTTTGTTGTTTTTTTTAACACTTCATTGCAGGAACTTCACAGTGAGGATGACGTCAAGCAGAGCAATGGTTCTAGCCCACTTCCAACTGATGCAGAAACACGCAGCCCTTCCCCAATCTCAATCTCCAGCAGTGAGACTAGTAGCATTATGCAGAAACTTAAGAAAATGCGCAGCAGAATGGATGAAAAGTAACTAATTTTTTTTCTTATACAAAAGTTTACTATTAATTTAATAGAACGAGTTGGTTTGGCCACTATCTGCACTAAAAATGGCCATGAGAAAATTTACAGAGGTATTGATATCACATACACTTTGATCTGAGTTGCCTGAAAAATAGCTGATTGGAAGCATTAATAGAACTACATTAATCTTTGAATATAATATTTTAAAGGCTACCATTCTTGCATGAATACTGAGATTCAAACGTTAGTTGGCAGACCACATGGTCAAGGTTTTATTGTAGAAGATTGGTTTTAATGTTTTTTCTACTTGACATAGTTGGTAAAAGCACATCAATTTAGGAGATTTTTATGTTTGTGCATACAAGGAACTTGAACGGGCTCCAGCTTGATGGTACATGTTGTCAGAGTTTCTCTTTCAATGAGAGACCTGAAGTCAATTGGTCAAAGTGGTGCCTGTATTTAGTATCTTCCCTTTTATTTTAGAGGGAAAAAATATAGGGAGTGAGGCTCTGAAATTACAGTACCAATTTTTATCTTGAGTTGAAGCATAAGTTACGAATAGCTATGGTCTTATGCAAAAACTAGTAACTGAGTTTGAGATCTGGCTCACAGAAAGTCATTGAGCTTGTTGGGCATCTGATTTCTACCTTATCCAGCTGCTGAATTTAAATTCTAATTGCATTAAAAGGAGCTAGGGCTGAATTCTGTAAGTATTTTCTTAATTAATGGAGATGGTATGTGTGTGACTGAGAAGACAAGCAGTTAATAAGACCTTTCTTTTCCTCCTATGTGGTCCACAGGTTGGAAAAATTTTGAAAATGGTTGTTAGTCTTCAGAGGAAATAATGAAGTATATGAGCAGTTCCTGGGTCTGAAAACTAAGGCTGAATCTGTTGATTTCACCCGTTAAATTGTTTTGAATCAAAAATTGTTTCTGTATCTTTAGTGCAGACAAAGTATTTCCTACACTGAAAAGATACCAAATGCTTTACCAGCATGTGCTCATTAGTTTGAAGCCTTAAATTCTTATTTGAGACTAACCCATTAAAAATCTGGCCTCTGCCAGTTAGCACAAGGAATAGTCTTTGCTTAAACAATTCTTTCTGGACAAAGGTTGGTCACTATATTTTAGTCCATATGGGTGATCTTTGTAATGTTTTCTCTCTTGAGACTCCTAACAGAGCTGGATAAAACGTCAAAAAAGCAAGCACTGCCATTTGTAAAGGCAAGCTGTCTGTGACTCCTTGGCACCTTATTTGCTTGTAGTCATTTGAGAACCACAGTTGCCACACTTGCATGTATTTGTATATGATGAAGATAAAAACCAGTAGTACTAAGTGAGGATTTGGTATAAGTACGAAAAAAACAACAACATGTTCTAGTTACATGGTCTTCATATTCTAGCCTAAATTGATTACTATTTTATTCATACTCTTCTGGTAGGATCTGGTAAACTGAACAGCCAAAATCACAAATGATTTCAAGGTTCTGAAGTGCCATATTACCAAAATCAAATTCTTGGCATTCCAAGTCATGTGAAAACCACCCATTGTTACAGCAGCAAACTCTCTCAAAGTATGTTTTGAGCTTGACAAATGGCTTAAGATGGGGACTTGACAAGGACCTGCTCTGTAGGCCGTGTTGACTTCTAGGGTTTCAAGCAAACAAGATTTTACTGCTAGTCCTATTTTTTTTGTTAAAAAGAGGGTCTTTATCTTATTTTTTTCCACCCGAGATTCAGCATACAAAATTTCAAATGGTGATGCAGTGTTACAAAACTAAGTTACAGCTTATTAATTTTGAGATTGTATTAATACTATACGAGATGACATACACTTTTATATTCAAGACTTCCTATGCTTTTTTTACCAAGTAGTGTTTTTGTCAATATTGGTTTTGAAATCTTATTTTTTTTCAAAGTACCTTCAATTCTAAGCAACACTTACAATTACAGAAAGAATTACATACTAATAAATAATTGTTCTTACTATTACAAGGGATAGTAGTAGATACCAAGTATGTTCTACCCTTAAAGGTATTTTAATTGTCAGTCCAAAATGTTGCTCACCTGGAGAATACTTTTCAAAAGGTGGATAGCGGGATTTGAGCTGAAGCAATTGCTTTTAGGAGGAACAAGTGGAAATTGTGTGTGATGTAATGTATGCGGTCATGTATTTTGGGTTTTATGGTTTTATCTTGGGTTGCTATATATGTTCAAAGGAAGTAGTATTTTGTGTAAACATAAATGATTCTCTAGAACTCAATCTTCCTAATTGTATAGCTTTTGCACATCTTTTGCAGGTATTTTGGTAGTGATAGCAGTGCTTATTGATTGAAAAACAGTGCCAACTTGGTATCTTTTCTTTAATGTCCTTATTTGTAAACACATAAGAATAATATTAACATAATAGAGTAAGACATTTGGTTCGGGGTGTAATGATAGGAAACTGCTGTTTGAAGGGAATTAATCAGATTGCGAGATACTGCAAAACAAAAGAAGCTGAATGACAAATACAAAGAAACTAGAAGAAGGAATTGGGAAACCCTGCTATGCTGGATTTGCTATACTCCATAGCAAAGTGAAAATCCTTTGGCTTTTTTACTTACGAGGCAGCTTTAATATTTCTCTTCTGCTAAAAGGGGAATGAAAGAATGGTTGTTTTCATTTTCATTGATCCATCTGTGTAGCCTGCATGTGAACAGGAGCATGCTCTGTCAAAGAGAATTAACCACTTTCCCCTTGCTTTCCTTGCATATGCAACTTTAATGATAATCTGTGCAATAGAAGAACTGATTAAATGCTCATTTTCTTTTGCTTTTCCTTAATATGCTTCTTACCTTGCATTGTAGTTGATAGAGCTATATGGAGCATGGTATTTTTCTGTAAATACGATAATTCATTAGGAATTAGCTTAAAACGGTAATTCATTAGGAAATGCCGTTTTAAGCACAGCTGTAAGTTTATGTAGATTTTTTTTTTAAAACAATAGGCATTATCTTCCTGCAGTTAGTACTCCAAATGAAAGAGGCAATACGTGAGTATTCTGAGACCAAGTCTGCACGTTGTTGCAAAAAAAAAAAAAAAAAAACCAAAATAGCAGCTAGAAGTTGAATTACAGGTATATCTCAGACTTTTCCTGGAATTGTTCATGTTTTAAAAATATATTATTTAATCTCTTTTTTTTTTTTTTTCCCTTTCACTGGTGCTTACCTTTGGAGAAGTAATTTTACTAAGGTTTCGCCAGGTGAATGAAAATGTGTTTAAAGTTTCAGACTAGCAAAGTTGTTCGTATCGCAAAACCAGCATGCTATTTAGTGCTAATAATATATTCTATTAACAGTTAGAATAGCAGGAGTTGCAAAAAGATCAAGTTGAGATATGTTAACCAGTGCATGTGGAAGTCTGCATCAAAGTAATAAAACTCCTTCCAAAATTTAAAGAAAAATACAGCAGTGTGAAAGTAGCTTGGCTTTAATTAACAGGAAATGAAGTGTTGTAAGTGTATGTGTGCTATTACCTTCTGCATAACAGTGTATAGTTTTTCTACTTCAAATGTTGGGTAATAACTATACAATGTTAAATGCAATTAATTTTAAAGTTCTTTGCTAGATGCTATCCTTTTCTCGTTCTTTCTGACTTTTTTGGTATCTTAGTTTTAAACTCTTCCTCCTTATTTTGTAGACACTGCTCTCCTGTTCACTACTTCTTCTCTGTCTTTACGTCTCACCACTGGGCTTCTCTCAGTGTCTGTTTTCCCAACCTCCACCCCAAATTCCAGCTGTATATCTACAACCAATTGGTCAGGTAACTGTATCTTTCTCAAGTGATAGACTCTTTGATAGAGCATGCTCTGTTCAGTCCTAGAAAGTCAAGAGGTTCTTCATCAGTGAACGTTTTTGACACTTCCCTCACTGTTTCCAGATCTTTATTAATGACATAGTGGGATTTGGTGCACCCTCAGCAAGTTTGTGGATGACACCAAGCTGAGCGGTGCAGTTGATTTGCTAGAGGGAAGGGATGCCATCCAGAGAGACCTTGACAGGCTTGAGGAGTGGGCCAGTGTGAACCTCAGGAAGGTCAGCAAGGCCAACTGCAAGGTCCTACACCTAGGTCAGGGCAAACCCCAGTATCGCTATAGACTGAGGGATGAATGGATTGAGAGCAGCCCTGCAGAGAAGGACTTGGGGATGCTCGTGGACAAAAAATTAGATATGAGCTGGCCATGTGCACTTGCAGCCCAGAAAGCCAACCATATCCTGGGCTGCATCAAAAGTATTGTGGCCAGCAGGTCGAGGGAGGCGACGCTCCCCCTCTACTCTGCTCCTATGAGACCTGATTTGGAGTACTGCATCCAGTTATGGGGTCCCCAGTAAGAGAAAGACATGGACCTGTTAAGTGGGTCCAGAGGAGGGCCACAAAAATGTTCAGAGGGACGGAACACCTCTCCTCTGAAGAAAGGCTGAGAGAATTGGGGTTGTTCAGCCTGGAGAAGAGAAGACTCTGGGGAGACCTTATTGTGGCTTTTCAATATGTAAAGTGGGCTTATAAGAAAAATGGAGAGAGATTTTTACCAGGACCTGTAGTGATAGGACAAGGAGTAACGATTTTAGACTAAGAGAGGGTAGATCTAGATTTAAATATAAGGAAGAAATTTTATACAGTGAGGGTGGTGAGACACAGGAACAGGTTGCCCAGGGAAGCTGTGGATGCCCCATCCCTGGAAGTGTTCAAGGTCAGGCTGGACGGGGCTTTGAACAACCTGGTATAGTGAAAGGTGTCCCAGCCCATGATAGGGGGATTGGACTAGATGATCTTTAAGGTCCCTTCCAACCCAAACCATTCTATGATTCTCATCTCTTATTCCTACTGTGTTCTGAGTGGCAGACTGTTCACTTTGCTCCCATGGTCTGGTCACTACTTCAGAATAGCTACTGAAACTGTCTACTTTGGGCGTAAAGTCAGTATAACTTGGTTATAAATGTACAAGTACAGATTAGAGCACCAGGTTAATGCTTCCAGGTTATTATTTGGAATGGATGGATAAAATGCATGATGTTAGCACCATAGAAATAGTTAGACTTTGAAATCATGCTGGTGTAATCTGAGTGCTGCTGCTTCCTCTTTGCTCCCCCAGATTTCCAGTTTCATAGATGCCAGATGTGGTTTTGCATTTTTTTTTCTGTTAAGGTGCCCCTGCTTTTGAGGATAATTGTGTACCCTTGGTGCTGCAACTGGAACCCTCTAGTCTGTAGTAAATATGAAGGCAGTGTGTATGCTACATTATGGCTCTGACCTTTTAAACCCCAGGGTTATAAAAGGGTCTGCATCTTTAGCCATGCTGCTTTAATCCTCCTGTTCCTATAGGTTGAATGTTGGAACCCTCTTTCTCTCCCATTGCTCCTTTTGACTTACCTTTCTTATTAAGTAGTCTTTGTGTGGTGACTAGTTTCATGGTCATTTAGTTAATTCTCCTCCTGTTTGTGGTCTTCTGGTTAATTCATTTGACATCTGCTTTTAAGGAGTCCCGCTCTTTTGAATCCATTTATTTCAGCCTTTCTCTTGCATTTTATTTCAACTGGACTTGCCTCCCTCAAGATCCAGTAAACTGTGAAGATCCAGGCATTCTGATGAAATCATACAGCAGGTGAAGGAAGATGAAAAAGTTGCCTTTTGCATTGAGATCATTGTGATAATGACCTCCATAATGAGTTCCAAATACATGATCTGCTAGACTAATTGGAACTGATGTATATCTGAAAGTAAGAGCTGATAAATCTGATAGTGCTGAGGAAAGACACAACATAAGCATGACTGCCCATGTCATGTTTGTAATGCAATTACTGTTGGTAGTCTAGTTTCTTAATGATATTAATCTGTTGGTTTTGCCTAAGAGTAGACAATGTTTGATGTTTGTCTACAGAAAGCAGTAAAGTAATGCACAAAATCATGGATTCTGTCAGCTTGAAGATGGCAGGTGTTCCAGAGACTCTGAGGTGCTTCTGTTTTTCACCTGCTTTTGTTTTGACCATAGGAAAGAATATTGTGGGCATGTCTTACTGGCTTCTGAAACTTTTATCTTCACATCATAACTTGTCCACCTTGTCTGAATCTGTCTTAGAGAAGGACTTATCTGAATCTTAACCTTTCTGATCAACTGCCAGCTCACTTTTCCAGGGAACAGAATGAACGCTAAGTGAATAAATGAGATGTCCTTTAGCAGGCGAGACCTGCAGATTAGCCAGTTGGTCATTCCAGTCTCTGTAAATAAAAGGGTTTTTTGAAACACGAGAGATTAAAAAGCACAAATGAAATTATTATCTGCTTTGCAGCTTAAAAACTTTGATGCTAAGTGTTTGGGATGGCTTGAAAATTACAAATTATAAAGGCATTTGCAAAACAAAATATCACAGGTCTTTGAAGACTGCCTTTTTAGGCACCACACCTTCTGCACCAATGATGAACTCTTGCTGTAGCTGGCAAACGACATATTTTCTGCAGATTGATTCTGTGATATCTTAAAATTTCAGTGTAGGAGATGAATGGATTGATGTACACTCTTCTCTAGACTTGGCATGTCAGAGGAAGTGTGTGCAATTGATGTGGAACTTGCTTCCATTTACTGTCTTAAAGGTTAAATGCTATGGTTTTGGTTACTTCAATGTTTAGAAATAAGACCAGAGATACTGTTGTTCAAGAGCTGGCAAAGAGAACTAGTATACACACACAAACCTATTCATACCTATGAAGTTCTCTTAAGAATTTCCCCGTTTCTGAGGTTTCATGGATCACTTAAGAAATCTTTGTCAGAAAGAAAAAAAATTGCTAACTTTCAGCATGAGCTTTACTTTTTATCTACTCTTAAATTAGCAGCCACATCTGTTAGTAGCTGGGAAAAACAGTCCTGCATCCTTGTTCTCTTGATGCTGTCAGCTGACAATTAACATTCCAAGTGTGGCAATCCATACAGATGATGCTTAAAGAGTGATGCTTAAAGGAAGAAGGATAAAAGTTCCAGTAATTCAGGAGAACTATTAATACAGAATCACCTTCTCTTATAATTATGTATTTGGAAAGAACTGTGGGCCAGCTGGGCTTACATTTTTTTCTGTCATTGGGATTAGCAAAAAGAAAGGTTCATTTTTCAAACTGCTTTCTTGAGGGTTCCAGTTTAATACCACAGGTACTTTTCACACCCTGAAATTGGGAACTTACCCTGTTCATTTTAGTGAATAGTTCGTAGCACTTTTAATGATTCTGAAGATCTTTAAAATGTAAGCAGCATGTTTACGGTATGTTGTAGACTTTACTTACTGGAAAGAAAAAAACTCTTGTCTACTTGTTTGGTTTTTTTCAGCAGCACATCAGAAGTTTGGGAGATAGTAGTTAGTGTGGATATTATCCTAGAAAACAATTTGAACAGCCGTAATTCTGGGAATTGTGGCAATAGAGCATCTGGGTATCGGGACCTTTGAGCGTGGTTTGCTGTTTTTCCATTGTCTTCTGCTCTGTCTGTCAGGTTCCTAACTAAGCGAGAACAGAAGCTGATGCAACGCCGGCAACATGCTGAAGAATTGTTGGAGTGGAAACGCCGCCTGGATGCAGAGGAAGCAGAAATACGGCGGATAGAAAAGCAGGCTCTAGCTGCCTGGGACAAAGAGCTGCTCAAATCCAAAATAGCCAAGAAAGACCTGGGGGATCAGAGAACTGAGCCCAAAGGTAATAGGAGGAGGGGGGAAGTGATGCAAGTGAGAAGAGTAAAGCATAATTTGACACGATGATTGCTTAGGTTTGCACTTTCTTCCTTTTTTGATGTTTTGGTGGTGGTTGTTCTTCTCTGGACACTCTTAGAATCTCGATTTCTGCACTCTTTACTGCCTTCTGTTGCCTTGTTCTTTCAGCCCTATTTTACACCTTAGTTAAATGTGTGTTCCTCCTTTGCTGTGTATCTTCTCAAGTGAACAGTGCAGCATAGGCACATCAGATGTTTCTATATACAATTTAAACTATATTTCTGTCTTTCAAAGCAAAAATACTGCATGATCTTTTGCTGATCATCTTCCAGACTTACTCCATTAAAACCATTTTCCCCTCTAGTGCTGTTTGAGTGTCTATCCTGTTAGTCTTATTACTGTTGGTGAGGATGGCTCTTATCAGGGGCTGCTTACCCCTTGTCTGTCTCTTGAAAAATTTGAAAGCATTTTTTTCTACCCTCTGTTGTTAAAGCAGTATAACTGTTTGAAATCTGCACCTGTGCTAAAGTGTGCTAGGATGTAATTAGTATAAATGATGCTATTGTGAAAAATTAAGTTCCCAGATTTGGGGAGCTACAGTTTTAGTGTTCTGTCTTAAGTGGACCATGCTTTCAGCATGAAGCAGAGACAACTGGATTGCAGTGGGAGAAAATAATGAAACTTCAGGGATTGTTCTAGAAATTATCAATTTTCCTTTTTTTCCCCACTTTGCTGGAAGCAGGCAGCATGTCCTTTGGCTGTGCAAAGGGAATTCAGAATTATGCCCTATTACACTTGTTACTGAAAACAGTCATGTGGATTTTAGGCACTGTAAGACATTTTAAAGATGATATGTGTATGAGTCAGTAAGTTCCAATGAACAAAAATTCAGCATTCATGCTGAATTCTCATCAACAGATGAGAAAATACACTTGCTTTCTATTAATTGTATCTACCAGTAAGCATTGGAGCACAGCCCTGCTTCAGAAGTTCCTCTCCCCAGACTTTGCTCAAATACTGAATAGTTCTTCATGGCTGCTTCAGTAATGCTGTGACTCCTGCGGAATTTAGTAAACAGGAATATTGAAAACCCAACTTATTATTTTACTTGTTGCCAGTTGAGAGACTCATGATGAAATCATAACATTACAATGTTTTCTGCAACTACTGTAAAGGAAGCAATCAATCCTAAATTCAAGATCTGGCTTGCAGATTATATGGTCCTCCATGACTTCTTCGGACTAATAGTGACTCTTGCTGGTGCATGGTCAACTGGAAGGACAGGTTTCCCTAATAATCTTTCTGTAGCGTGTTGTCTGGAAAATGTTAGAATATCCTGAAATCCCATTTGTTTTATACATTCAGCAATCACTAAGAACATTTGGCAGTCTTAAATCATAGTTCTGTGGTAAACATGCTTGTTCTTCCTAAATATTCCACCCTTGGTGTCTAGGTGAGTGAAATAACACTTACCAATTTGGCATGTGTTGGTAGCAGTTACTACTTTACATGGAGGCAGCAGTATCTCTGAAGGCTTATAAGTCAGTGCAAGTTCTTAGGCGCTTTGTTGTTTTTTTTTTTTTCTCTCATTATTCAATCTCAGAAACGGCTAGTGAAGAAGAGTCTCCAGTGCCTTCTTGCTCTCATCTGAACAGTGAAAGCTCTATCCCAGAAGATCTTGGCAGTCTAGCTGCTGAGTCTGTCCCATCAGAGACTATGGGCCATGGACAGCCAGAAAGCCCAGATCAGAGTACACCTAATGAAGAAATGGTTTATTCTGAAGAGTTCAAGTCCTCTACCTCACCTGGCAAACTTGTGAGTGAGCTTTTTATGCTATATATATTCTTACACTTGTAAAAGGCTATCAAGAGAAGTAGTAAGCATAGCCGTCCCACTTGTCAAAGCAGAGATTAATCTATTCTCTGTGTTTGCAATACCATGTTACATTACTATGAATAAACATTGCGATCAGATATGTTCTTTGAAGTCTTGGGGAAAAATTGCTTCAGCACAGAGTTTAGATATTTTTAAACTTGTGGGTAGTCTTGCAAAATGTTTTGCGTATGTCACATAGGTATGCAGTATTAAGTGGTGGAACACTGACCCAGTTTACCATTGTGAATTAGGTGTCGGCTAGCTTGTTACCATTGTATAAATTCTTTGAGGCCATGGAAATTATGCTCTTGTTTTTCTGCTTTGCTTTACTTGCAAGTAATGTATCCCAAACTATAGCTATAGGATGAAGAAGCAGAGCTGTAACATCATGCACAATCCTTTGGGTTTCAGATTATGTCTGCTTGCTAGCTAATTCTGCCTTATTGTTCTATTCCAACTGTTATTTCTACTTAGTTGATAATTTTGGTAAGTTTCATCCTGATAACTTTGCCCTGTGCTCAGTGAGACAGAAAATGTAGTGTCTGTGGGGTGAAAGAACTGCTCATCTAGACTTATTACAAATACTTTCTTGGAAAGTTTGCTGAGAAGATAGTGAGGTAGAATGTCTAGTATGTGCTAGAGGTTACATTCAAGGTGTGTGAAAGGTTTGTGGTATAATGTTGCAGCAGTAAGAGCACTTTGGAAGAATATTTGCTCTTGGAATTTTTTGCCTGGCTATGGAGAAGTGGTGCTCTGTTGTTTTGCTGATCTAGAATGTCATCCTGCACCTCTTACATGAAATGGTCCTTTTGGTTTTGCAGATATATTTATTATGGGTTCTTATTGCCATGGTTGTTACCAAATAAGATTACATAAACTGTATTGAACACCTGTGAGTCAGAACCATGTCAATTCACTTAAGTAGTAATAGAGTAGTCTAAGCAGGTTTACTGAAATCTAAGTTCAAAGTAAGCAGTCAGTTATTGCTGCTCTTGGTATCTTTGTTTTATTGTCTAGCAAACTACGATTCAATTCTTCTTAAGATAGCTGGATAGGTACCACTGCTTATGAGATATTCTCTAGTCATGCTGTTCTTTCCTTGTAACTAGCTCCTGATGACAACGATCTCCTATTTTCAAACTGAGCTTTACAAGCTTATTTGTCCTTTACTTCTCCCATAGTCTCCTCCCAAAAGCAGCGTATCTGTATCAAAGCAAGATTCCAGCAAAGGCAGCCATAGAACTGGAGGACAGCTGCGTTCACCTGTGAAGTCTCATCAGGTATCTTACAACTGGTCTGATGAATCTTTATCCATGACACAGTCAGGTAAGTGTAATATCTGCTTGGGTTTAAATTGCTTTTTCAAGGCTTTTTCTTTTAGCAAGTAAACTTGAAATACAGGCCTAGATGTGGGGAGGCAGACAGAAATTCCTGGAAATTGCCAAAGTTTGGGGTTTTGTGGGAGTATTTTCCCATGATGTAATTTGATCACTTCAGCTTAAGAAGGTCTTAACATAAAAAGGTCTATATATTGTCTCTTCTTTTAGAAAGCAACGCAGGTTCCTGCAAACAGGTATGAAGAAGATAAGAGTCCTAGATAAGGTGTAGTTCTAGAATTTAAAAATACCAATGTTAGCTGTGCTTTTAACAGGTAATACTTCTCCACCCCTCATGTTGTAAGAAAGCAAAATATGGTTCA